AAAATCCTCATTATAATTAAAAAAAAACATTGTTTTTATTAGTGGTGTACATCGGTTGAAATTTAATGGATTTAGGTGGATCTGATTCAATCATCCATTGGATGTTGGATTTTTGTCTTCCGATCCATCCAATTAACATTGGACATCCGATCCGATCTAATTCAATCCAATCATCAATTGAATTGGATCGGGTCGGTTCTATCCATTGGATGTTTCTATGGTTAATCTATTAGATTGAGTTGGATTCATCCAATCTTCTGATCTAATACTTAACCAACTAATTCACTATTTCAACCAATGATTCATATATTTTCTTAAGTTATTAGAAAACAATGTATGCAAATATCAACAAAAAAGAATAATATCGTAAAATGTTAATAATTACATATACTTATTAATTGTATGGTCAATTCGGATCGTATATGTTTTATTGAATGTTGGACTGTCATTCAAGAACCGTCATATCCGATTTGGACGCTGAAATTTTTGATCTGATCTGATCCGATGGCAATTAGATATCCGATAATAGTCGGTCGGTTTAAATTGGATCATATGACTTTCTATACACCGGTAGTTTTTGTAAATAATTAATATAATTATGGAAAATATAAATATGCAAATAAAATGAGATTCCGATTTTAATAAATAATTGAAAGAAAAGAATATTAAGTTGGCGGAGGGTTTTGGCAATTTGTATGCTAGAAGGGCTTTTTCGTCCTTTTCTCATTCTTTACCTTGGATACCGACGCCAATGCCCTACACCTTTCATGTACTACCGACCAATCTCTCTCTCTCTCTCTCTCTAAATAATAAGAAAAAAATAAATAAGATTATATCTGAAGAAACCGGATCGATGTTAAAAAGCACAAATCACATGTGATTTTATAGTAAAATCAGATATAATATAACACGTCTTGTTGATGAGGTAGTCTTATCAGTGCGTGGGTGAGTTTCACGTGACCTTGGTCACGTTGCACAGTCACTCATGTTTTTATGTTAATTGTGGATGTTTGAGTCAACTTATACGCACCTCGATTAATCTTAGAGATCCCGAAGAACAACCCAGAAAATCTTCAATAGTCTTGCAAGACTCCAACATGTGACCTCTGAATATAACCCCCAAAGATCCAAAACTACCAGTTAAGCTAACCCGTTTTGGTGTGTTGTATCACATACAATTTTACTTATTACTTTATTCAATCTTCAACGAATTCGTGTCCTACTCTCCACGTACAGGAACGGGACTACGGAAGTAAGAATTGAATTGGATTTCAGTTAAAAATAAGAGTTATGGTGATAAGATGAGAACAAAACATTCATATATATATATATATATATTCAACTATCTTTATTTATCTAATTTTTATCATCATGACTGAAACTTTAAAAATTCATACACATGAAAATTCACAAAAATGAAGACAATTTAAAAATACAGATAGATGAATATAATTAAACATATGCAAATATAATTGAAAATACTAAAATTAAATTAAAAAATCAACTCATCCAAAAAAAATAAAAAATATTATCAAGGATTTTCCTGAGAATGACATCATTTTGTTTGAAAAGCAAAACCTTAATTTTGGCAAATATTTGTTTATTAATGAAATTGGCAAATATTTCTACCATCAATAAATCCAACACCACCCACTTCATAATTAACCCAATGGGTCCATTTATTTTTACAACCAATTTCATATATATATTTTTTAATTAAAAATCCAAATCATAGGAGGGCTTTTTGGTAATTTCACAGTTAGGAGCAACTACCAAACAGTAGAGTATTGGCAAGTGGAGGGACAAAAGGAGACACATGTCATTTTCACAAAAACCCAATCCCTTATTCCTCATTTCTCATTCTTCTTTATATATACCATTTGTTTTTGGTATTTCATATAATAACTATATAAAAACACCCAACTTTAATTCTCTCTCCCTCATTCTCTCTCTGTCTCTCTCTCTCATTCTCTCTCTCTCTCTCATATAGTAAAGATAGTTAAGATGAGAATCGTAAGAAAGAATCTGGATGCTTGATCATCTTTAATCTTAAACATATCCGTAAATCGCTCTTGATATAAGAATTAATGGGATGCATCTCAATGCATCTTATCCCAGTGCATATCATCCTACAGTGTATCCAAGGTGGTTACTGTTTTCACCTTAACTCTTTTTCACACCAAAATTCAACCCTATTTGTATTCATAATCATTTGCTAACGTCTTAATTCATATACAACATATAAACCGATCTCGATTATCCATCTAAGCTAATCATTATGTGGTTTCATAAAATTTTGATTGTTTCCTATTCTAAAACGTTAAACATAATTAATTGATTTTTTAATTATTTTTCATAAATATCTTAATCATAAAAAATAAATGTAATCATTTTTGTAAATAACATAAAAGGTTTTACAAATAGTTGATTTCACTTCTGATTGATAAAGTTGTGGTAAATTTTGAAATCTGAATCAATAAGACTGTTTATTTTTGTAAACTGATAAATGTCTGAATTTGTTTAAATTGTCTATTTTCGTATCCATCAGAAAATAATAGTGTTGGATTTATAGCTAATTTCTACAATTTCACATATTTATTCATCATCATCATCATCACGAATTACATCTAAATTATATAACCAACATTCATTTTAACAAAAATATGTCATTAACGATATTTAACACATTTAAATTCTATTAAAATACATCAGAGAGAGATGTGATAATCAATTTAGTAAGGAGCGATCAAGAGAAATGTTCAATTAAAGTTAATTGATTGATAAACGTCGTTGTTGAGGACAATAAGAGATTGGTCTACCTCTTACCAGATAAGAGAACAATAAATATATGCGCCTCTAAAAAATTGAAAAAAACAACGGTCTGAATGACTCTACCTCTTAAGGAGTTACATATAAGAGGTTGATAAAAGTTTTTTTTTCAAAAAACAAACAAAACCTAAATATATAAGATTGTGAGAAATTGTGATATCATTTGATTATAAAAAACAAAGATATAGATACTTTCACAAAATAATATTTTGTGTGTTGATTAGTTTTTACGCTTTTCATACTGAGGTTATGGGTTCAAACTTTTGTTGCAATTTTTTAAAAACATTACAAATCTGAAATTAAAAGATAAAAACTAAAAAAATGACACAAACAGGATTCAAATCCGTGCCTTGGATGGTAGAAAATCCATGCAAAACAATCCTACCAAGGGAAAAATGTCACTATTATAATTTCAAAATGATACGGTAACACCTTTCACAACTCTATTTTTTACACTATGAAGGAGGAACAAGACAGTGACGATGTGCCACCGTATTTATTAATATGGGTCCGCCCCTTGTTTTATCTTTTTGTGAGAATTATGTTAATCACCTTATAGGGCTAAAATGTTTTTTGTTGTTTGATTGAATCCTTATAAAAACGTGGTAACAGGGATATAAATAAACATAAATCGTGCTGACATCGACTTAAGTGAAAACTAACCTTAACATGTAAACTTTAACAACAAAAAAATACTGAAACTTCACATATATTTAACAAATCTGAACAAAGATGAGCCAACCACGATCGGCTTTAACGAATCAAGGGTTCAAACCTCACCAAAAAATGATAAGGGTATGTGGATTTATCTGTTCTATTTGTTGTATATAAATATTATATAATTCAAAAAGACATGAAAACTATCATATTAACGTAAGTTTATATACCCAATTATAAAAAACCAAAATGCCGCAGTACATTCTATCTCACAAAATGACGTGTGATCGTCGTCGATCAAAAGTGATCGATGGTTGTAATTGAGGTATCACAATTCTCACCAAAAAGAGGATTTTTAGTAGAGAGAGAGAGAGAGAGAGAGAGAGAGAGGAAATTAAAAACTGATGAACGTTGATAACTACTCATTTATATGACATGCATATAGACATGTAAGTAATTGAAAATGTTCCCTAATTAACGTTTTTTTGTATTCACATGTGCATATCATATATATGAATGACTATTAAAGTGTTTCTCAGTTTTATCTTTTACGATTTCCCCTAAACCTAACCATATATATCTATGCTATATTATAAAGCATTTGACAAAAACTATTAAAACCATTTTTATGCATGAAATATTGTATATTTATGCATATTATTTAAAATTTAAGATTACAAGTAAATTATGCACAAGTACAACTTATTAAAACTCCATGTTTGAATTCGTGTAACTAACTGCGAATAAACATAATCAAATATAAGATAAACATCTCATTTTAAAATATAAAAAATCTAAAATATCATCAAGATAATTATCGAGTTCTAACAAAATAATTAATTATTATATTTATAAGAAAATTATATTATTAAACCAAATATAAATTATTTCGTTATTGAACATAAATTAAATTATAATAAAAAAATTAAATTAAAAATTATACAAAAAATAAGATTTTTAAATAGTTAATTTGATATCAATATCGTTATACTTTTGTCAAAATTTTATGATATCTTCAAATTTATATTTTATTCAAAAATAAAAACATAATCGTTTTTCTAAAATCATATAAGACCATACTATAATATCGACTGAGATTAATAATAAAATAATATATTAAAATCAAGATGTATCTCACTATATTATGCAAGTAATCTTCTAATAGTAATTTAACATATAAACTTAAATGGTTGAAAATCTTGTAAAATACTTATAAAATTAAAAACAAAAAAAAAGACATAAAATATTGACGGATCAAATTCGATCCCAACATATTTATTGATTTTTTGCTGGTTAAAAAAATATAAATAAAGAAAATAAAATAACAATAATAATGGTGCTTCCTATGCATCAATCGTTTGTACCGTACAACTAACTCATGCTCTTTTAGACACGATTCTGTTGCTGGCCCTTTTCCCATCGTCGTTAATCCCCCACGGACTCCATTACCACCACCTTCACCTCTTCACCTACACACACACACACACACTCTCTCTCTCTCTCCCTCTCTCTCTCTCTCTCTCTCTCTCTCAATATTCAACTTCAAGCACTAAACAACTTTCTTGAATTACACCCACCAAGTGTTCATATTCTTCTTCTTCTGCAATTTCAAACACAAACACAGAGAAACTCACACTTTTTTGTTTCTTTCTCGCTATCTCTTTACTGGGTTTTGAAAATGGGAAGCAGAATCCCATCGCACCAGCTCAGCAATGGACTATACGTGTCGGGTCGACCCGAACAGCTCAAGGAACGACAACCCACACTCGGGTCACGAGCCATACCCTACACCGGTGGCGATGTCAAGAAGTCAGGTGAGCTCGGAAAAATGTTCGATATTCCAGTTTCAGACCGCCCACCTCCGGTTCTTAAGCTTAATCGTGCATCATCTTCTTCACAACACAGTAGTAGCGGATCCCTTAGATCCGGCCCGAATTCCGGGTCCGGTCCCATCCCTAAACGAACTTCCGGGTCTGGACCTATGGCGGTTCCGACGGGTTTACTTCTAACTTCCGGTCCACTTGGATCGAACGTTGGCCGGAGATCCGGTCAGTTGGAGCCACCGGCGGTGAGTTCGAAAGGGAAGACAATTTACGGTTCGGCGGTGACGACGTTAGGGTATGATGACATAAAGTTAGGGTTTAAGGTATCCAAAAAGCTAATGTGGATGTTTTTGGTGATGGCGGTGATTGGTTTAATGGTGGGTACCTTTTTAATGGTGGCGGTGAAGAAGCCTCTGATTCTGGTGGCGGTGGTGGCAGTTTTGATACTCGCCGGCGTCGTAATTTTATGGAATTGTGCTTTTAAGAAGAGAAGATTGCTGTCGTTTTTACGAAAATACCCCGACGCAGAGCTTAGAGGCGCCATTGATGGCCAATTCGTCAAAGTTACTGGGGTAATTTCTTCTTATCCATTGTATTCAATTCATTGAAATTAGCAAGAATTTCTGCAGTTGATCATCGGAAAGTGATTCAAAGAACACCCTTTATAGAAAGTACGACTAAATTAGCATAATGTAAAATGCCCACACCGACACAAAAAGATGTACACAAACCCAGATTCCACAAATTATTACATCTCATCTTTAATTTCTAATTGAATTTGTCGAGGGAAATTGACCTAAATGGGTCATGTTCGCAAACTATCGACAGTGACATTTGGGTAAAACCGGGAGAGAAATGACTAGGAGACCGATTACATCGAGAGAAATGACTGATTTGATTTCGGTCAATTTCCCATTTGTAGATTGTGTTAGATGGGTCAATCCACTTGTTATATTAAAAATTGATAGCTATGATTGCTATTTGCTACTTCCTATAGATAGTATTTGTATTTGATGGTAGATTATAAAGATCGAATATATAACCTATTTGGTATACCTATATTTTAATCAATTATTGCTGTGTTTCATCTGATTGCGTATGGGCTAATGGTGTCAGGGCTGAATGAAAAAGCTTCTACTTTCTAATTAAGAACATTATTTGCAGATTTGACAAATTCGTTAGTTCTTTGCTTTTCATATCTTTCTTTTTGTTCTTAATAAAATTTCTTGCTGGCATTCAAAAAAATAGTTAATACTTACAGGTTTTGATTTCAGGGATAAGTTTTTTTCTTTTGGGTTTTGATTGTACGGTTCTTAAGATAACGATGCATGCTGCAAGTTACAACGGTTTCTTGATCACAAGAATCGGGTAAAAGGCGTTTTGATAAGTAAACAGTGATGAAAATATTTGCTTTTTAAAGAGGTTCAAGGATGGTATATATCTTTTAGGTGGCTTCTAATCTTGTGGGGAGTAGAAAAGTATTGTATTCTCTTGAGGGTCCTCCGTTATGTAGCTTCTTGGTAACTAACTAACTAACTACGTTTTCTTTTGAATCTTGTTTTAGTCTCGCAAACCCTTTATAGATTCTCAGCTCGATGAACGGTTTTATCTTTTGGAAGTGTCATTGTGGGACTATGTGCTTGTTGATACGAGCTATAGGGGAGGAAATCTTTTTTGATTTGGCTTTTTAACATTTTTCGTTATGTGGGTCTTGTTTATATGGTGTTAGAAGAAACGAAGATGTGATTTTGGATCGGAATTACTTGATGTGGGACCCACAAATTGAAGACGGAGGGAGCTTATATAAACAAGTAGAACCCTAATCTTGGTATGTTTGGTATACTGACGGGAGTGAGGGAGGCAGGTGAAAGAATTGTGGAAGGTTTTTAGGGTTTTAATTTGACAAGGGTGGTTTTAGTAATTTACCACTCTTGTCTTGATCTCTTTTATTTTTGTTCCACCTATTTTGGTGGGACAGAAAAAATTGAATTTTTTGTCCCACTCAGGCTGTCCCAGTCTAATGTCGCACCAAAAATGGGACAACAAGTTTGTGTGCTGTCTTGTCCCACGAACCAAATGCGCCCTTAATAGACTATGATATCATCTTGTGTATGTCTATGCCCAGAACCAACATTTGGTGTTTAACGTTTTTCGTTCTGGGGGTTTTGTTTGCAGGTTGTCACATGTGGTAGTATTCCTCTTGAATCATCGTTCCAGAAAGTACCGAGGTGCGTTTACGTTTCTACGGAATTGCATGAATACAAAGGATGGGGTGGGAAATCGGCAAATCCTAATCACCACTGTTTCTCCTGGGGATGCCGGAATTCCGAGGTTAGTCTGTCCCATCACAGACCTAGCTAACATCTACAACATTTATCCTCTTGAGTTTCATAATCGGCAAAAGCCGCAATGCTACTTCGGTTTTTTCTTATTTTGTTTTATCTTTTCTTTGTTTTCCTATTCTGCAGAAATACGTAGCGGATTTTTACATATCGGACTTCCAATCTGGGCTACGGGCCGTGGTGAAAGCAGGTGCTGGAGCCAAAGTAGCGCCTTTTGTTAAAGAAACCACGGTGGTGGATATAACCAAGGAAAACCGAGAATCGTCTCCAACCTTTATGAGCTGGCTTGCAGATCGCAGCCTGTCATGTGATGATCGTGTTATGCGTCTTAAAGAAGGGTACGTTACTTGAACACACTTGAGTTTTTATTCATTATGCATGATGATAACCCTTGAGCATAAGGGGCTGTGTGGTTGCTTTTCATCAACTCTTATATGAATAAAGTTTGTGTAGATTAATATGTTTGTATGGATTGGGAAGGTTTTTGTTTGGGAGGGTTTTTTCGTGGATGGAATGAGCATGTCTTTAATTGGAAAGGGCAGGTTTTAAAAAAAACTTGGCTTTCTGCATCCCCCGGAAGCGAAGTCCCTTTCTATAGCATTAAGCCACTACCAAACAATCATATATAACTGACCAAATAAGCTGTGAGTTCCATTAAACTCATTAAGCTGCTAAGAAACAGACTCTAAGTGTTCCTTTTTAAGTATATAATATTTATATACGGAAAATACTTGCACAAATTCCTGATCTATGGAGGAGGTTTGAACCCGGGAGGCTAGGATTTACTGGTAATCTGGATACCACTGTGCCAACGGGCTTGTCTAGATACAAAACGAGAAAAGGATACGGTTTAGTGGGTGTGTGTTTTGTCTGAGAGAAAGGGGTGCCTGATTATGTACAACAAATTTGATTGGTTTGTTGTATATGCCAACAGATAAAAGTGGTACGTCGTTCTAATGAATATTGTATAACGAAATATTCATTAAAACTATTTGTACAACAAACTAATCAAATTTGTTGTAAATAACTAGGTGGGCTTTCTTTATGACCGTTCTTGGGTGTGTATCACTAGGAGAGATTTAATTATTTACTACAAATTTGATTAGTTTGTTTTATATGTCAGCAACATAATGCAATACAATGTTGTCGAGATAATATTTATTAGTAATGTAATAACAAATTCGGTCAGTTTTTTTTATAACAAATTCATGTGTTGAGCAAAAAGGTTGATTACCGACAACCGACCGGCCCCACATGGAAACCCTGCCCCCTAGGAACCACATGTGAGGAGGCATTTCAGAGCGGACTCAGCGACTTGAGGCTACAGGACGGGTTCAAGCCCGTCTCTTGCAGGTTGAACCTGTTGTGTAGTTGAGCAAAGTCTCTCCACCCTTTTGTGAATTGAGCTACTCGTGTGTTTGTATGAGAGAAAGAGACGCCAAATCGTTTATAACAAATTTGATTGGTTTGTTGTACATGCCAACATAAGAATGTGGTACAATCATCTTAGCCGTTGGTACACTAAATCAATCAAATTTGTTGTAAATAACTAGCTGACGTTCTTCTGAACTTTAGCGGGTACACGCTTGTCTCAAAGAAAGAGACCCGTAATGATTCACAACGAATTCGATTGGTTGTGTTGATGCCAAGGAGATAATGAAATACATTCTTATTATGTAGGAAATATTCATTACAACCATCGGTATAACATATAAATCAAATTTGTTGTAAATAATTATGTGTCGTTCTTTATGACCATTCGTGAAATAAAGCACGTAATGAACGAGATGTTTAACCGTTAACAATAAATTTGATTGGTTCGTCTTACATATTAACAAGATAATATGATACAACTGGTGTACCGAATAACTTGGCTAGACAAGCAAAAGTGAGGTAGGCAGGTTCTAGAAGTTAGGATTTTGATTTGACATGAGCATTTTTTGTAATTTACCAGTCTTGTTACATGTTCTTGATTATTGTTCCACCTATTTTGATGGGACAAAAAATGCCTTTTTCCCACTCGGTCCCATCTGTCCTAGTCTAATGTCACACCAAACATGAGCCACTAAGTTTTTGTTTTGTCATGTCTCGTTCTGTTCTTGGTACACACAAATAGTTGATTTACCGCAACCCAGGCAGGTAGCCGCTTCACCTGTCCCATCACTTATTTTTGTCGTTCTTTGTTACCATGTGCTTGTCTTTGTACTCTTGCACAAGCCAGGGTCTTCACGGAATAACCACTCTACTCTTTGTGGTAGAGGTTAGGTCCGTTTACATCTAAACCCGACACCCTACTTCCGATTGGTATTTACTGGGTTCGTTTGGTTTGGTTTCCGGAATACACCTATTTTCCAAATTGCTATACTTGTGGACCAAATATATTGCTTTTTTATAATCTTTTTATCGTCACTACGATCGTTAATGAATGACAGATACATTAAAGAAGGGAGTACCGTTAGCGTGATGGGGGTGATAAGGCGACACGATAATGTGCTCATGATCGTTCCACCGGCAGAGCCCGTGTCCACAGGCTGCCGATGGGGTTGCGGTCTTCTCCCAACCTACGTCGAAGGTCTTGTGTTGACTTGCGACGAAAGTCAAAATGCTGATGTCATACCTGTCTAAAGTTATTTCGCAATGTCAGCATCATCTTTCCGCTTTAAGAACGCTCCCCGTCGAAGTATATATATCGTGAGCTTATTCTAGAAGAAACAACGAAACTTGAAGCTCATTTTATGTAAAAAACTGGAAGCAAGAATTGCAATGAGAGGTTGAAGATGAAGATGAAGATGAAGAGAAGAAATCCCATCAAATATTATGGAATTTCAGCTAAGGTTTATGTATAGGTGTTGGAAATGAGTTAAATTATAAATATATATATGATTTGTGTATTGTATTGGCTTAGTTTTATGCATTTTCTTAATGATCATAATGCCCAAATACTTGGGAGATGAAAGGCTTCACCCGTTCTGTCCTGTCCAGTCTGCGTACCAAACACTACCTTAAAAGACTGCTTATAGATTAAACTTTGTTTTGATCCTAAATCTTGAGCATCGGGCGTGTCCTGAATTCGTTATAAGAAGCCTGAAGAATGGTCTAGTCAAGGTTCGGTTAAAACCCGAAGTGGCGCAAAGAGTAAAAAGACTGTATGCGTACTGTCTTCTACCTCAAAGAGTAAAATAACTGTTTATGGCATTGACTTACGTGTCTCAGTTAGGGCCGAATAAAAGCCTTGTTAGGATCCAACTATGGTGGAACAATAATTGTTGAGGACTAGGTGTTTTTGACTCGGGTTTTTCTGAAACTGTATATTGTTCGACTCAGATTGGCGTTTGGCAAATTGAATTGTGTATCGTTCGACTCAGATTGGTATTTGTCAATCGAGGTCGTTTAGGCTGATAAAGCTAGCTTTATACAACTCGGACTAAGCATGAGCGTATGTTTAGCGTCAAGAATGGTTTGTCGGCTGTTTCCATTTTTAGAGTGTATTTGGTATTTTTTCGATAAGATAAAACAAAACAAAAATTTATTATTCACTATATGTGGTGCAAAAACTTTTAACTTTAAAAATAATTATAAGATTGATAAATTTTTAAATTATTTATATCAAATAAAAAAACGTCTGCAATTTTACAAAAAACACGTTAAAATAACGGGTATTTGGAAATTAATTGTATTTAATAGAAATTTTGAATTTAGTAATGATTAAGAAATGAAGATGGTGGGCACACCAATTATTTTGACTTAGGAAAATAAGCGCATTTTTGCAATTCAAATTATACGCTCCATTACAATATTTTATTTTATTAGTTTAAATGATTTATATCTATACTATATTATAAAGCATTTGGCTAAAACTCTTAAACTCTTAAAAACTCTTAAACTCGTTCATCCCTATCCGATTTCATC